CGAGACGCACTAAACCACCATGGTCAGCGTCCTCGCTTACGCCTCCACGCGTGCCCTGGACCTGGCGATGCAGCTGTACGGTGCGGCCCAGGGCAAGCTCGGCATCCCCCTTATCGGCGAGAAGTCGCAGCCCTTTGGGCCCTCGCAGACCGTCTCGATGATCCTTGCGTGGGAGCGCATGGCCGAGATCTCCGACTACATGAACGACACGCGCGCGGCCTCAGCCTACCGCACGCAGGCCCGCCTTTCGCGCGACGCGATCGACAGGCTGCTCTGGAACCACACGGCCCAGTACTACGCCGGCGCCCCGGGCTTCGACGGCATCGACATTGCCGACGCGGGCAACATCCTGCTCGGCCAGATCGGCAACCCCGAGCGCCGCACCAAGACGGTCGCCAGCGTCGAGCAGCTGCGCATTCCCTCGGGCTACCTCAACGGCACCCGCTTCAAGGACACGGTCGCCGTGGCCAACCCGTACATGCTCAGCTTCATCCTCGAGGGCTTCGCCATCGAGAACCAGACCGCCCTTGCGCAGGATTTGCTCGACCATACCTGGAGCCCTATGGTACGTCGAGGTGTCAACTACACGAGCGCCTACTGGGAATACGTGATAAGTTTACCCTAGTAGCTCTGTGGGACTCCATTTCCTTTGTCTACATTCTTTGGTCCTGTCTCTCCTCTCGATTCTCCTTCCACGAAAACTCCTCTCCTTTTTATTAGGCTACGACCACTGACATACCCATCTTGCTACAAATCCTAGATACAGACGGTAGCGCTCTAGGTCTCGGCCTCTTCGACGCCGGCAGCCACTTCTGGGGCTCGTACCCGACTGCGTTCCTCACTGACTACGTCCTCGGCGTTAAGCCGACCACGCCTGGCTATAAGACCTTCCGGCCGATGAAGGACTTCGAGTCCGAGTGGGTTTACGGCCGCGTGCCGACCCCGGCCGGTAACACCCTCGTAGCCTGGGGCTACGAGTCCGGCGGCAATAGTAGTGCCAAGTGCGCGCTCGAGCTGACGCCGCCCGCGGAGCTCGAGGGCACGATTATCGTGCCGTTTGAGGGCGACTTTTCTGTCAATAGCGGGGCCGCACAGAACGGCCAGGTCACTGTCAAGGGCGGCGAGACTGTCAAGATCTGTCAATTGTGATTGGCGTGAGAGCACGTCGCGCAAGACAGCGGACATGCGATAAAAGGAGCGAGAATCCACGGATAGGACAGGGTCCTTCTTTGGACCATAAAAGTAGTCGATTGATCTAGACCCGGGGTGTCTACATGCCACGATTTCAACAAGATCACATGGCTCAGGCTTGGCTAATTATACCACCCGAGTTATATGTATAATTATCTCATTGCTGCAGCTAAAATTAACATCTCGAAACGCTTCAGTCCGCTTGCCAGCAACATGATAAGTGAGGACACAGAATTCAAACGTATCCAGTAGGCGCTCATTCTTCTGCGTAGCCGTGCCAAGTTGAGACGACGGCGGCGTGAGGAAATGAGCCAGGATACCCCCAAATGGACGTCCATCAGCTCGAGTCTAGATCCAGCGTCCAGCTCACCGGTCTGCACTGATATTTAGTTTGTAGCATTCACCATGATCAGCATCGCCGAACCGATAACGAGATCAATACGAAGATGCAGCAACAAAGAAGGAGAAGAGAGAGGCCCCCTTGCAAGTAGGCTTTTATGTCTTCGGGGTGGCTAGCTCAACACAATATCACCTGGTTTCCATGGTACATCAGATTAACAACTGTTCCAAGCTATTATCGAGCCGTGCCATGTGAGGGTGAGAGCACACTGGCCCTTATCTTTCTGGCGGCACTTATTTTTCTGGCGGCCCCTGACTGCACGCCTTCAGCTCACCAGAGGCTGCCGAGAGACGCCCGGAGCAGCACCGCCCGATGCATTCATGGGTATCACTTCTGAAATAGTACAATGTGAAGACTCGAACTCGTCTTTTCATAAAAGATCGGCACATGATATTTGGAAGGCGAGTAAACACATGAGATGCTTGTATCACTCCTTGAGCACAGCAGGGATAACCTGCTTCGCAATCTCCTCTGCAAACTTCTTCTCCCGAGCCTCCCAGCCGAGCTTGCGTAGGCGGCTTGCGCGGTTGCGCGCGTTGGTGCCCGCCACGGCGAGCGTGAAGTCGCCAAACAAGTCCGCGTACTGGGCCTCGGGGATCGTCCGGGGCTCCGCGGACTCGAGCTTTCCCTGCTTATGCAGCTCCTTGCCAATGACGGCCGCGATGTCGCGCCACGACGCCTCCTCGCCGCTCTCGCAGAAAAAATACGGGTTCCCCGCGAGGTCGGCGTCGGCAGCGGATCCGCGGTCTGCGGCGCTCTCGGCGTAGTGCAGCAACGTCATGTATCCCCGCGCGAGGTCGCTGACGTGCACGTACGGCCACTTCGCGAGCCCCTTGCCGACGTACCCCGCGTAGCCGTGCTTGAGTGCGAAGCGGACCAGCGTGGGCGCCTGGATAGACAAACGGCCGCCGCCGTGCTGGCCGATGCCGTCGATGATGGGCGGCATCATGATGACGAGCCGGTTGCCCTGCGCGCCGAGTTCCTTACGGGTGCGCAGGATAGCGAGGTCGATCTCACGATGCGGCGCCGAGTCCGGTAGGGCGTCGAGGTCGGCGGGCGTTGCGTCGTCTACGATCTTGTCGACGGCGTAGTCGCCCGCACTCTCGTCAAAGAGAAGGCTAGCGCCGCTGGTGTGGATGTAGATTGGCCGCGAGGACGGCCTCGGCGGAGCGTCGGCGGGTATAGTGCGCCTTTGAAGGAACCCGATGCCGTCAAGCGCCTACTCCATGACCGAGTCCGTGGACTTGCGAGGGATAGGTATGGTTGGCCAGCGCATGATGCGTTCCTGGAGTACCTGTTTCCTCCCGAATTGGATAAGAACGGCGCGGGCCATCCCGATCCCTATCTGGACACGGCCTGGCTTACATTACTACTCTGCCTGACACCTCATGTTAAGACGTTACACTTATGTGTATATCCGCTGAAGGAGCCCGACATGCTTGCGCGACTGTTTCAGTTCTGCAGAGACCGCCACTTCATTGAACGCGAAGGGGAATCAGGCGGAGATGTGATGTCGAGAACGCCAGCGCCGCTGTCAGAGCTGCGGTCTCTGCACTTGCACGGAAAGGGCCCTGACTACCGCAGTGTCCGGTTTCACTCAAAGAACATCCGCCCGCTACTGCTCTCTACCGAGCTTCAGACATTGAAGCTTATCGGAATAGACTGGGGTGGCACGAGCGTAGACACACGCTCAGAGGCCGAGGAGGAAAATCGAAGGGACGACAGGGACGACGATGGGCATAACGACTTTCAGCTTAACCATGTAGTTCCTGGTAGGCCACCCAGAAAGCTATATACCTTCCCAGGTTCTCATCCAAAGATGAAGAGTCTCAGTCTCTGCGATAACCAGTCTCCTCACCCTTATGGCGTGCGGAATATGCTGTTGGCTTATCCTAATCTCCACACTCTCGTCCTGAAGCCAAGTGTGCGCTTGGAGCGCGGATCATTTGATTTCAGCGCGTACGGCACTGTACTCCACGACCACGCCAGGCGCCTGCGGCGTTTCGAGTTCGAGCCGGATAACGTCTCCGATGCCGATTTCGAAGGGTACGACAAAGGCGCGATCGGGTCTTTGAGGGACAAGTGGACTCGTCTAGAGCAGCTGCGTATGTCCCTTGCTGCACTGCTCGGCCCGGATCTAACCGAGCGGCTGGACCTGTGTGATTACTTGCCGATCAGCCTGCGCTGGTTCTGGACCACTGTGCCGGACTTCAAAAGCTACGCGCAGGTGTATTCCAACGCGCTGGCAAGCATGCTTGACGACGGATCGGAAGGTAATAGCTGTCGTAGGCTACCACGGTTGGAATGGGTCCTGGTCATGCTGCCTAAAGGAGATGATAAGTTTGGCTTTGAGCCCAGAGAATTCAGCGTGTTGCGACTCGGCGAACGCCATGTTCTGTACAGGAGAAAGTCCGCCTGTGTCGTACATACGCCGCCGGGGTGGGAGGATGCCTATGTCGAGAAAGTCGTGACGCTGCCTTAGAGGCCACATTTCGGAAACACAAGGGCATAGCCATTTTCTGCTACCTCACTTATGAGTACAAGGTCGACTATCCAAAGGGGAAATGGACTCAGCAGGAGTGGGAATGCGACGACCTGGGCACTGAGGATGATGCTAGCGACTTCGCTTCGGAGGCTAGGTCGTTCGAAGACCGCAGCAATACGACCACGCCGCTCTTACAAAAAAACGATCCGTTCCTGGATCTGCGAGGACGATCGAGTCCTTCATGTTCGTCTGACAGCGAACTCGGAGATCAACATGGAGACTGTTACCCCGATCCTCAGCACGTCAAGAAGGAACAAGACGACTTAGGCAATGAGGACGATGCCACCGACTTCGTCCAGTTGGGGGAAGGCAGGTGCTGACCGCTCAACGCCTCGCCTCCTTCCATCAAATAGTTCAAGCAGTGGTTGGCGCACTTGACAGCGCCTCGGTCCCAGGCGACTTCATGGGCTGGCCGGAGTGCGGCCCTTCTTTTTCTCAGTCATTCTGCTACACTTTCAGACGTTCCTCAACCCTTCCGCCTCTCTAATTAGGACACAATATAAAGCTTGCTCATATGTTAGCGTGACAGCCCCCGCACGGTCTTGCTCAAACTCTCGCAACTATGAAGTGATGGCCATGCTACCCTGCTTTGCTCATGATCCCATACATGTTCATGACGGAAACAACGGTTTATGTTCTGGCCAGAGTCTCTCGGATCCGAGTCCGTCCGGAGCAGGGTCGGTGATGCGGAGCCATGACGCTATGGGGTTTACGCTTTCGGCGGGCTCATGGGAGCTAATTGGCATACACAAAGACTGGCCATGTCCACACCCAACAACGATGAGAACTATCATGAGAGACAATAATGAATGGAGTCAGCTTTACATACTAGCCCTTAGAAACTGCCTTAACACCCGTCTAAATTCAGTCAGGCAAAGTTAGTGAACCCCAAAGGTCATATGCCCGACGCTGGAATGCGATATTCAACTCCCTTGCAAAGCCCTCTGCCTTAATACACTGATCATAAGCCTCATTCACGCCTGACTGAGGGCCACAGATGCTGGCGCAAAGTCTTAATAAGGATTTTGTGTGCTGTAGTTGCTGTACGAATGTGTGTATGGTCATCATGTGCTTCTTCGTCGCTACTTCTGTCTCAATGAAACAACTTCTCAGCGTGGTAGACGTTTGGGCCAACCACTCTCGTGGATCATCCTCAAAGGGCGTCGAGCCTGGGTCGATTAGCCGTTGCAGGATGCGTGTTTGAATATCTCGGTCAGCAGAGGTTGTCACTGAACGATAAGCTCTGTAGTTGATAGCGTGACAGAAGCTTTCGTGGCCTTTGGTCTCCTGTTGGATGGTAGAGTTGGCGAACGCTTGCAAAGTACTGATTTCATCATCCGTCGACATCTCGTGGCGGGACGATGGTCCTTCTTGGGTGGAGGTGACCATAGGCGACGTCGGGCTGTCATCCGAGGTCGCCCGGAAGTCGAAACCATGGAAGAACGCTTGTGAAGCCCGAGTGAGACTATCCGGCGGCGCCTGAACTTGTGATAGCTCCTGCTGGGTGGGAGTATTGCTCGATATTTGGCGAGCCATTCTTGCCGGTCTTGGATCGGAGCAAGTGTATGCTCCGCTTAACTCAACCAACTACAAGATTATGAAGGGTTAGTCCCGTTCTCGCAACTCAACAGTGGAGATCATACCTCGGGATGATCTTTTTCCTCATGTTTTCTCAGCAACTCGAATGTCTTGCAACGTTTCCCACAGCTGTAGTTGCAAAGATGAGCGGACCCTGGGCGGTGATCCTGTGTCTTATGCCAATTGAGCGATGAACGTGTTTTGCAACTCCGAGCGCAACTAGGCCAAACGCACGAGTGACGAAGCTGTTGCTTCAAGTGAGCCTGGTGATGTCGATCTTGTTCTTCTTTGTCCCTGATAAAGTTGTTGATGAAGCATCGAAAAGCGCATCGGAGCCCTGAAGGCTTGGGGGGGACAGAACGGTTTCGGGCCGCGGCGTGCCGGCTCTGCTTCTTCCGCATTGCAGGTTGTGGCTTCCTTGTTCTTTTCCGGGTGCTGCGTGGGACAGCACACTGTTAACCCTATTGTCGAGTGTTAGCCATCTTTCCGTGTAGTAGAGAACCCGTTATGTGGCAATCCCATTCTCACCATGTTCTTTCGGGAGTGACAGCAATTGCAAGCCAACAGCCTTGTCTTTGCAAAAATTTCGAGGAGGGATAAGCAAGCTAGAACCATCGTTGCCTCATCCCCGATCATTTATATCCGGCTCAACAAGCTGAGTAGCACATGATACAAGGGCTGTAAGTAGTAATCTGCCCTTAAGAACCAACACCTGGGCGCACGCGCCTATTGCGCTTACCCTACCGTGAGCTGAGAGATATATGGTTGTGTCCATGCTTGTGCCAGGAGAAGCGCCGGTGGCGTAGTGGAATCGGTTGCAATTTCAGTGCCCTGGCGCGGTGCGGCAGGCATGGCGGGTAAATCCGCTCACAACGTTCATCCATGTCCACATAAGACAACGACATATTGAGAAAGTCGAGCGACAAGCCCCCGGCCATTTGCGCGGAGCCGATCTTCTCGGCGATTTCCAAGCGCCATGCTGGGGCCCTTTGGTTTCCAGGGTACCTTCTTCCCACGGGCTTGCTCCCCTGCAGCTGAACATGGCATGCCGCGGCTAGGCTGCTTCGCGCTTTACGTGCTGATACAGTTTACGGACTGCCCCGGCCCGGTTCGACCATCTGATAGTACTGTACAATGAGGGAGCCCTCGACCCTCAGGCGTATGACATCTGTGGACTCCAATGCCAAGCTGAGCGGCCATGATGGAGTGGGGAGCCTCGTCTTCACCCGGGCAACCAAGTTCGGCCTAGCTTGAACGGACAACTGCTACATGCACTGTGCGGCTTGCGAGATATTGCGGAAGCGGCGACCGGCAAGGGCTGGCACGGCATGGCGCGGGAGCAGCTCCGCTTCGCGAGTCTGTTCAGATGTACACGTCGAGGAGTGTCTTGCTATTAAAGGACAGCTTCCGGCTTCTCATGCACAGCAGTATGGGTCAAGGCCAGTCAACTTCATCGCCTGCACTATGGATCTTCTTCGTCTGGCTTCCTCACTTACAGTGTTAGTGATGGTCACTGCAGTAACGGCTCACAGATGCTGGGCCTCCTATCAACAACACAAGGGGTGGACACAGGAGCTGGGGGGAAATCACACGCAACGGATATTTTCCGATCTGCTCTGGGATCTATGCGGGTTCTGTGGTAGTACTCTGCTGCTTCGATTTCTCCTCGGTGTTATCGCATCATCATATGCAGTAGTGCCACAGGACAACAACGCGTCATCTGATCGCAGGCTCCTATCAACTTATCTCGCATCCATCGGATCGATGCTCAGCCTCGTACGTAGAGCTACATCCTCGACAAAGCCGGGTTTCGCTAACCCAAACGGACAAGGCTCCGTGGCAGGACAACCTCTTCAGGGAGAGAACTCTACCATTCATCGCGAAATTTGGACGATCATCTGAGCTATGGTCGTACAGAGCAATCATTTACGGGCCCGGCTTCATTATCGCGCTCCTCCAAGTGTCTACAGACGAGCAAGTGCCGTTGCTAGCTTGTGGTGTTATGGTCTCACGGACTCTGGCAGTATTGTACTTACTTTACTGCACCTTGCTCCATTTTCTCAAACCGACACGCGACGGGCACCAACTCCCGACACGCGACGGGCACCAACTCATCACGGTCCGAGGCGTGTTCATACTCGCCACAATACCAAATATCATCGTAGCCATACTCATTATCTATGGCGTAGTAAACACAGAGGTAAGAATCCCATTTCCGCCTTACACGGTTGCGGTGGATCTGACAAGCTAGTCTCTGCCAATCGCCAATTCTTCGCCAGAGCCACTGGTCAGTGTCTGGTTGCTCTGGGTCCATGTACGGAAGCAGCGTGAAACTGGCGACACAGAGCAGGCTGGCGCAACACGACACCTAAGTAGCGCTGCAGGCCTCATCCCATCCACCACCTGACAACCTTTTTCCAACTGGCTTCCTGGACCACGTCCGCCATTCCATGTAATTACTCGGTCTTCTCAGTGGATGCTAATGGGGTTGCTGTGCTCCTCCGCCGTTTTGCTCGAGTGAGTCCCACTGGCTGTGGAAGACCCGTCCGCGGGTTTCGGGATACCGAAGCTCTCTTCGCCGGGAGCCATGATGCTAGCTACCCTTTCTTAGTAACTATTACCACCATTGTTGTTGGGGGTCCTACCACTTCTCTCTGCAGCCTTGATACTCTTGGGAATGTGTAATTTATCCGTTTCGCTCTGAATTGTTTCTCAACAAGCATGACCGACCACCAGACTCGCTGTAACTCTCTTATACTTCCGCGACTCGTTCACAGCCTGATCATAATTGCTATGCATTTTTTACCTCTCCCTTCTGCAGCAGCATGCACCTTTGCGTGGTGGGTTGCTTGATGGGCCGCGTGGGTAGTTGTCTCCCAGGGTTGACACCCCGTTGCGCAGTGTGCATTCATTGAGTGTTGGAGCCATGCAAAGAATGTACTCAGCGCCACGACATGCGTGTCCCATCCTTGAGTCCCGGGATGGCGTCGCCGTCGTCTGTCTGCTGTGGTCCAATGCAGTGTTCCTCTTAGCACCGGTCTGCTTGCTGCAGAGTACATGCGGCTGGCATGACCCGGTCACTACCATGAAGTTGATTTTGGTACAGTTGCTACCACGACCCCACGTCAGCATCTCAGGGCACCCAGACCGTGACCACCTCCCGCGACCCCTCCTCCCTCCTCACCGCCAACAACACCTACACCGACTGGACCGTTAACACCCGCGCCACCAAGCACATCCTCGGGCGCCCTTACCAGGTCATCATTTTCGACGGGCCTTTCAATCCGGATCGTGAGTGTTGCTTTCTTCCTTCTATTCCTTCACCACGGTCTCCCCCCTTGCTCAAGCACACCGTGGACCCTCCTCCCCTTTCTTATTGTATCGCACCTCCGGACACATTTTTATTTCCCCAAAATGGGAATTACCCAGTTCACTAAAATCCACCACAGGACTTCATGCAAGGCGAAATCCCCTCCCTCGAACCAGAGCACATAGTCCCCCACCTAAAAGACCACCTGCACTGGCGTGTGCTGGTGGAAGGGGGTGTGGATGTGCCGTAGGAGGAGGTGCCGGGGTTGGTGGTGTGCGTTTCGTCGGCGGAGGTGAGTTTTGACGAGAATGGGATTCGGAGCTATTCGACGGAGCATACGGTGTATCCGGAGAGTACGGATGGGAGGCCGGCGGGGTTGAATGTTGGGGAGGAGGCTTAGGGGGTGGGGAGTTGAGCTATGGTGTTGAATGAAGAGGCTGACATTTGGCTTACACTTGAGATAGAACCTAGCTATAGTGCTGCACTGCAGACTGTTGAAATGACATGGGAAATACCGACTTGAATCTGTTCCACTTAATGTCTTTGCCACCTTTGAAGGCTTGAACCTCACTCAGTTATCTTAAACGGCTGCGGATCCGTCGGCACCAGCGTCGCCACGCTAACATGCGGCCACGTCAATATTGCGCCCGGCCCAAAATTCAGATTCACGGTCTGCGAATACTGGATCTGGATGCCCGGCACCTTGATTGTCTTCCTCTCCGTGACACCACCCGGTGGCGCCGTGATCGCAAACTTCGGCGTAGGCGCCCTCGCTCCGGGAGGAAACGACGCCAACAGGACCTGCGTCTCACCTTCTTCCATCTTGTCGACAACGACGTCATACTCGATCCGCTCGATGTAGAACGTGGAGGTCATGAACTCGGTGTGAGCGTTCGGGTCGTCACCCTCGCCGGGCGAAGGGATCATGACACCCTTGACTTGGCGCGTAGTGTTTGCGGATATGACCGGGGGTTGTACGAACGGAGTTTGCGGGCCGGCGAGGAAGGCGATGTTGGCAGTCCCGCCGGCGTTGAGTTCAGAGTTTGAGTTGCCTGTGTTGACCTTGAAGGTGATTGTTTCCTTGATGTCGAGGTTGCTGGTGTCGATGGCATTTTGGAGAACGAGATTGGGGTTCTGGATGATCTCCGTGGTGATTCTGCCAGTGCCTTGGGCGTTGAACTTCTCGAGATTCGCCGGAACCCGTCGCGTAAGGTTCTCTTTCTCGGCGTTCATCTCCACTTTAAAGAACTTTTGTTTGTCCTCAGGCCTCCCGATAATGAATGGCGTGGTGTCAAGCTTGTCGAACTGGGGAAATTTGGGCTCTCCACCGATCACGGTTGAGGTGTTCCTCTCGGGAACGAATCCTTGCGCGTTGATTGTCGTACCGTGAGGAATGGAGGCCATGCGGCAAATGGTGTCGCGGCCCCCCTGGAAGTCGGCCGCCGGAACGTGAAGCCATATGCCGGGCTCGAAGTGAATGCCGGAACCCTTGCTGGACCTTAGCTTATCGCCCTTTCCAGTCTCCACATTGGTCGTATCCTGGACGGTTTGGAGATAGGCAAGCCCGCCGAGGAAGATGTCCTCCTGGTTACGGAACCCACGGTTCGGGATCTTGCCAAGGGTCGGGCCAAAGGTCAGTTGCTCGGTGGTGAGACTGAGGAGCAGCCTATTGTCGTTGGGTCCGTCTCCACAAGAGTTGCCGAGTGTCTGGAAGGTGCTCGGGACCCAAATCAAGTTGAACCCATTGCCGGCGTAGGAACCCTTGAACTGCTCAAGCGGGAAAGGGAGAATCTTCTCAGGCTCCGATCCCGGTCCGCCTGGGACATGGAGCTGTTCGTCCACCTGAGCTTCGTCCGATGCCGGCGGCTGGTCTTCCGTCAAGGGTACCTCCTCGCCATCGCGAGACAAGCGCCTGGAAAGCTTGGATGTTGGGGCCTTCTTGGGCCCGCCGCCGACCGGGCACCATTGGAATCCGGCAAGATCGAGGGCAGGGGCCGGGTGTGTGATGTTCAATGGAGCAATGATATGCCCGTCGAGGGTGATCTCGCTGGCCATGATGTATGCAAGGGTTGGAGATGCGCGTCACGGAAGTGGCTGAGTGCAGGAAAGATGTGCGAAACGATCTGGTGAGAAGTGTTTGGTTGAATTACTGAGGTCCGCGAGTCGGCGAGCAAGGGCGCGGGAGCAACAGAGCTTTATAGACTAGATGAGACCAACTGTCAGCCTGTCTTGGATCTGAACCACCGTGTCCGGACGGATGGATGCTCGTTCGCGGCCGCCATCTTTGAGTGCGTGTCTTGATCGTACCGGTCGAAGCTCGTTCTGTGACTCGCACAAGCGCCGGGCGCAGACTTGTTGCGTTGCTTCTTTGGATGAAGGGGGGATCGCGTCCGTGTGGCTGCTTACCATGTTGGTGCTGTGGGATGCAGTGTTGGTTGGATGCTAAAGATGACTCGGAGAGGACCCTGTAGGAGATGATGGTGTTTGAAGTTCTCTGTGCTACACACCAGGCGAGGAAGGAGCGTGGTTGGTAGAAGTAGAAGAGCTCAGCCTCCAACTCCCATTACCCCTCCAGCTGCATGCACAGCATCGGAATGCAATTGCTTGGCACAGGTCCCTTTTCTTACAGCAAGCCGCTAGCCGGTACATATGATTAGCGGATCTTGATAGCCTTCTCTAAACTTTCGAGACCTTCCCATGATCCTCACCTCATACCACCCATTCTATAAGCACCTCTACGAACGATCCTCTTATTCACATGCTAACGCTTATTTATCATGCCATGTTCTGCAATCCTACTTCACACTAGGTTAAGTACATGTACCTGGGTTGACCGCTATTTACGAAAGCTTACAGGAATATATGCGTGAGGAAAGCTACGCCCATACTACCAAGACGGCTTATACGAAAGGTGTGATACCAGGCAGCATAGAGTTTAACCCAAGGGCTGAAGCGGGGTTGCCAGGAGTTGGCACGACATGAGGCAGCACCTGGTCAGCATCCATTCAATCATGAGCCATCCCATTGGCTGCGTTTCTTAAACATGAGGATATGTCTCAGAGTCACATGGGATGTGTTGAATCCACATGCTTTCATATGCGCTGTGTTCAAGATGAGTTGTACATGTACCTTGTGTACTTGAGTCACAAGCTTTGATAAGGGAGTGCCTCATGAAGCTACCAGGTACTCGCGGGGATACTCCGCCCCGAGTAAGCGTCAATGACAGGCCCAGGGCAGAGTCTGAACCAATGACAGGGACAGATCACTGTACGGCATTGCGTCAGTATGAAGCACTCGCGCGGGTCGCATCAGCCTGACGTGAGGACGAATCTTAATTCCACTTTCAGAGCATCAGCCCCCTGATTCAGGCAGCCGTAGCATTAACTTTGCATAGCATGCATCATATTCGTACACACTAATGTTCTTCGAAACTCAATGTTTCATGATTCTTTGAAGACCAGTGCGTTTCCATCCAATACTCTCGATAAGCCTACAGTATTAGGGACCCTAAGGCGTGCCTTGTCGGTTCGATAACCTTCTGGTTATTCTATCGGTGGCAAGTCGACGGCGAGGCTTTCCCACGCTTCGCCTCCAACGCTGACTGGTATCACATCAAGATAATCCGCCAATCCCTCCCGGAAGTCACGAAATCCCTCTCGCCACAGACAGCCAATAGCTGGACGAGGAAGATCTACGATAGGTGTGGAATCAAGGCGTCAAAAGCCTCTCACGCACCCCGGGTTGCTGGCGCCCAGAATGCTGATTTGGCTGGTGTCAGAAGCAAGTGTGAGTGAAGCGCCATACCAATTCCGGTGGCCGCCACCTTGGCCACAGCTAATTTGTTATGATAGATTCGTAGGGCTGGCCGCTGGAATCATAGCGACGCCATGACCGGCTACTATCTCACCACCCTGCCACGAGAATTTATGAGGGCAACTGCGGACTTCGATCCCGATTGGGCTGGTTCCTACCAGATACCAAGGTCAACAATCAGGCCGCCGGAAGCGCTGAGAGGTCTGGTGTGGCCAGAATTGGAGTATTGGCAGCGGAAATATAACCGGAATGAGGTCCAACAAGATAAGGCCGCTGGCGCCTTCTTGGAGTTACTTCAGTGGCCGCGTGACGTCCTCCTTCAGCATGCGGCTTTCCTGATGGCCAGCTACCCAGACCATCCTATCTTCAAGAGTAACGTCTTCCACACCGAGGAGTTCCTGAATTTCGCTGCCAGCGTCAGGGAAATCCACGAGACTGCTTCCAACGATCCCTATTATGAGATAGTCGAGCAAGCCATCCCAGCGGTAGCTGAAAAGCTTCGGCTGGTGGCCACCCAACAGGCCGATATCTTGAGGTCCAACCAGCGCCTCGAGCGGAAGGTGACAAGCCTCGAACGCGAGGTCCACAGCCTACGCCAGTTATCGTGGAGGGTCACGATGGATATCAGGCCCGATGGCCAAGAGCTGGTTCAGGTTCACCAATTGGCCCACCAAGGCAGCCCCCACGCCGCCTCTCCGGCGCCGGCGGTGGCGCCAGCGGTGGTGCCGGAGGTATTGAATCGAGCTCCCTTGACGCCACCGGTAGCTGTGGCAGCAGCTCGGGGCGAGAGGGCACCTTAATACAGGCTGCCACGTGATATCAAGACGATCCTGGGCTGGACGAAGCTATGGAAGGAAGGGCTGCCGGGAATGCCCTCAGTTGACGCCCTCGAGGCGAAATGGGGTGCAGAATGGCGACCTCGGAGCGAATCGCCATGGTTCTGCAAGACCCTAAGGCTTATTAAAGAGGTCCGGCGAAGGGCTGGCGAGAGTGGGCAACACGAATACGAAGTGGCACAGCAAATGGATACAGAACGAGGCGAGGCTTCGGTGGCCAAGGTTGTCGAGGCTCTGAATAGCTCCAAAAAGTGAGGATTAGGGGGCTCACTGCCGCTGGGCCCGCTGGGACCTGCAGTGGCTGTAGTGGGTGTAGGGCATACGGTTAGGGTGGCTGCCACGCCCACTGGTGGCATCCCGATAGCTAGCTATTAGCATTGCGGCTTCGCCAACAATCTGTTCGTCAGTGATATTGCCCCCCCCTTTTTTTTTTTTTTTTTTTTTTTTTTTCAGAAAGTTGTGTTTTTAACACCTATTTCCTATATTAAACTGACCTTTCTGGAAAGCTTTAAGTCCCTGGAAAAAAAATTCGTAGTTATCGTGGTTAAACAGCCTTTTTTAGAGTCCTTCAGGGCCTGGTAGCGCGCCCAGGGGGTCAGATACAGTGGCACCCCACTGACCAACAGGCCCGAAATCCGTTATTTTCGGATAGCGCCACAACCACCTCGTAAACTTACACGTTAAAACATGGAAAATAAAGCGCTCGATGAGGCGATTAAAATGATGCTATTCGCAAGCTCCGCGGCCGAGCGGCCGCGAAGCTATCGCGGAGCGTCGGCCCGGGCTGCGAGCGGATGGTGATATTCAGAGGGGGCAGCAAAAATGGCCGTGCTGCGCGGCAGCGTCCCGCCCAGAGGGACCTTCGATATCCACCCGATATGATATCGATTGACGATAAAATCGATATCCTTATCGATGACCACCCTGCCAAGAAGTACGCCGAGGCGATCGTCAGGGAGGGGTTGCGATGGGAGCCGTACGCAGCATGTTACGATTGCGGCGTGCCGCAGTCGATTTGCAGCAGGTTCGAGCCGAACGAGAAGGGAGGGTTCAGGTTGAGAGAAGGAGGGCGTTGCCAGGATGAGCACGTGTTGTTCGACACGGTGGTGTCAATATGGGGAGCGAACAAGCAGGAGGGGGACGAACATTTCCGAAAACGGTTGCGAGAGAGGGGGATAGAGTGGGAGGATAACGAGATGGGGCCCGTATCAAGGTGGATGGGGCGAATGATTCGTTGGGGCGGGATCAAGAAAGCTTGGGGGATTTGTCGGACCCATGGCGTGACCACTGGGCTATTGCAGCAAAATCTGAGAATGTCCGCACAACTTCCGTGTGCGAACACCTAACACAGTAAATATAGTGTCAGCCCAAGACAGGAAGGGAGCTACATAATCTGGTCACCCAATTCAGTTTTCATTCTCAATGAAACAAAGAGCAAAAACCCTATAGCATACGATCACGACTCAACCTTCGCTTCTCTGTTACAAATTTGACCCGGGCAAATTGACACCTCCATACAATTCGGGTTCAAGCTAGGGTGAAACGCCAAGTGCCATACACCTCCCTACTATTCTGCATTCCATGCCAATAGGCCTCTAATTTTCTCTCGTTTTGACTTCTCCGGCTGTCACTCACATATGGGCTGGGCTAGCTTTGGTAGTATCGTCATCTTGCCCGGCTCCCGGCTCCAGTGTGGTGCCTGGCTCTGCAGTATCGTCGAGTTCCTCGACGGGCGGCGGACCGAAAAAGTCTTGGGGATATTCAGAAGTGCGAGCCTCGGTCTCAGCTTCCTCGTCCACTACCAGATCCATGCCTGCGAAAACATGTTGCTTGGCTTGCTCATGCTGTTGGGCATCTTCATGTTTCTCAGGCTGCTCATCATCTTCCGAATCATCGTCATCGGAGCCGAAAACGGCCAGACAGTTGCCCTTGGTGTCATCGTCGTCAATCCAGAAGAGGTCCCAGCTCTTGTCGCTTCGCTCAATGGTGATGGTATCCGGATGATGTTCGCGGTGCCGCATTGAGATTCCCAAGCGCGATGCCGGCGTCTCGTCTAGCTTCTGCCGGTGCTCCCACTTGACCGCGCGGTAACCCATACCCAGGATCACCTCGGACTTGTACGTACCCATCTTAGCCCGGCTCCTGACGCGGTATACCTTGCCCTTGATGGTGACCGGGACGGTCTGAGTGGGATCAGATGCCTGAACCATGAGCTCGGCATGCTCGGCCTCCATGGTTGCCTTGTGCATCCCGCCGCAGGTGACGACATGCAGGGCAATGTATAAAACTTTGGGTTTGCTCGCTGGCAGCGACTCGAAGAGGCTGATGAGCCTTTTGCGGTATCCCTTTTTCTCCAGGAGGTCTTTGATCCTGATCTGGGGCGACTCCATGTCGTAACGCAGAAGGATCGGGATTTGAAGAGTGTCCAAACTCTCCTTTGATATTCTGAGCCCGGCTGCTATTGCATGCAAGACCGACGCCTCGGCTTCGGCATCATGGATGCTGGATGTACACGACTGGACGCCAATAGCCTCTACGGGCTGGTTTGGGTAGACTTTGCTCACCATCTTCCTCGGCCATCTACATGGTGAGCCATATGAAGGATTCTCCTCATTTTCTTCCTCTTCGTCATCGTAAGCGCCGTCACTGGTCGAGTTGTTGTCGATTGTCTCAGGGTTCCCAGGCTGCGGATAGCCTAACATGAAGCGCAGCCCTCCGAAGAATCCACTGGATGGCGCAGGACTCTCTGCATGGCTACCAGGCATGCCCGAGTGAAGGTCGCGCCGCTCCAGGCAACAATGGGTTCCGGGCCGTCATGTTGGGTCACATCCTTGACGGCGGTCTTATTGCGCAGCGTTACCTCCGTGACCATGCCGCGGATTCTGATAAAGCCGTCGCGGACATTCCCAAAGTGGTCTGCGCCAGAGGGCTCGATATGGCAGTGGAGAAGGTCGACCGCGACGGTCTCTGCCCGAGCACAGGACCACCACCACGCGTCGTACCTGACGGGGCCATCCATTGACGCCCATGACCAGCTCGGGGCTCGGTATGTGTTTGAGTGCTGCGTCATGCTGGACGTCTTGGTGTCGGCCTTCCAAAGAAGATCGAGAAAAAAGGTCAGTCTCCAAAGTCCCGCGACGTAGTGACCGATCTGGATGTTCCTCCTGTCCGCATTGTCCTCTAACTTGCGCGCAATTCCGGAGATAGCGATCAGCTTGTCCGACTGGAAGGTAAGAAGCCGCCCGGTGTACTCCTCCACGAGTCTATGCCAGGAGCTAATTGGATTGTCCTCTTGCTCCCACGCAACCATGACTGACGGCGAGTATCGCCTCGGCTGAGTCGGTGGGCCGATCTGGTTGCCTTCAGTGCAGGACCCGAGCCTGCATTCACATGTTTCTCGTGTGCGACATTCGAATCGGAGCTCGGTGGGTGTGAAGTATAATACACGACGGGAGAGGAGCTGTTCCTGAAGGACCCAGCCACGGGTATTGAGCGGCAGTTCCGAGACATCGTGGTAGACCAATGGCCTTGCGTAGACGGTAGGTTTGGTCTGAAGAGTGCCTATTGATAACGAATTGGGCGGTGGCCAGACTGAGATGTAGTTTTCTGCCCTCGCAGTATGACATCCGGTGTGGCTGCCAGTTCCCCAGGTCGCTGCAATGGTCAGATGCGCATTGCTATAGATGTCCATCATCTGGCTCGACTCGACTTCCCAGTCCTTGGCATCATCTTGTACAATGCAGAGTGAGTCAATCCAGATGTACTCGAGACCAATAACCCTGGCCGTTCCGATGGCGTCCTGGAAAGTCCGTGGGATGGCTGTCCACGGAATATGCCTGAGATGATTATCCAGGGTCGACCGAGTTGTCCTGAGAGGCTGCTTTTTGCCCCAGCAGTGGCTGAGGGCCGCATATTTTCCCTGGCTAACCCTTGTATCGACTAGCTTGACACCGTTATTTGGCGTATCGAGACCTAGTCCGGTGTGAATCAAGCGGTGTGGCATGAACCCACGGACGACGTCTTTACAGTTGTCATGGGTCTCCTCACATTCCGTGATCCAAGTCTCAAGCAAACCAAAACATTCACGGCTGTTCGAATTTGCTGCAACATGTCCTGCGGGGCCCAAAAAGGGCCAAGGTGTTGAACTGTCTGCGAAGGATGTAAGCGACTATGACCCAGCGATACATACTATCGGCTAACCTTTCGCAGTGTAGAGCTCGATCACCCGATTCAGCTCCTTTTCAAATAAAACCTTTACCTGTACATGTAGAGGCATCTTGCCGCTCTTGTGGGTGTGTATCCTGATCTTGGCACATTCTTCGGGCCATGTGAGTACATCTTCGATCTTTGGAATAAAGTGCGTCAAACCCCTCCAGATAAAGGCGCAAGTAGGACAGGAGCCGCTTGTTGTTGATATCCAGAGCTTCTTGATATGGGTTTCAAAAATGTCCCAGTCTCTGGTCCTTGTCGACCCTGTTGTTAACCAATCCTCGCCCAACTTCGCATGGATCTTCCACTCATGAGAGCTGCAAGTATCGCATTCTCCGAGGACTGGGCGTGCTTCCAAAGCGTCTTTCACGGTCACCCAGGTAAGGGCCGTGCCTGACCGTATCGCCATCTTGTGGGGCCCGGATGGTGGAATGCAACGGTGATTATTCGTGACAGCGCGAGGTCTGGAAGCAGAGGTGAGTATGGAGTATCTTACGGCTGAGTAGATGCTGTTTGTTGCCCCGGACTTCAGACTTCTTTCCTCTCCTATTCCGACGTACTGTGAATTTGAAAGGGACAAATCGGCCATCAGGACCCTCGGGCTGCCTGCCGAGTAGAAATGGGACGATAGAGCGGGGTAGTCGGGGTAACCTCACCGACTATCAGTTTCGTCAAAAGACCTCTGGTAGCTAGTGGCCCTCTTTTGGCGGGCAATCGAGACGCAGCCGAGGCACGAGGCGCCGAGTAGTGTATCCAATCGCAGGCCGCAGGAGCAATGCGGCGCAGTTGCTGTAAAGAGATGCGGAGCTCTGGGTCGAAGGGATTCTCAGGGGCTGAGTTGGTGAGGTGACCTGGTTAAAGATAACGCCTTCAGTTTCGCCTCCTATTCCCTCCTCCCATCTGCCGCCTCCTCTGCCACGTCCTCCAACGGCCCGCTACGCGACCTGCTCACGTCCGTCCCGTCGTCCTAGGGACATGACAACAGAAATGCGATATTGTCAGGTTTCTATAGCCTGTAACGGCAGCTTAAAGTCCTGCCCTCCTCCTAACGCCTTCCATTTTCCGAGTTTTCGGCGAGATCGCGGGACTCGCCCCCACGCCTCCCTTTTTGGGGGCCGCCGTTTGGAATCGTCCCCCTTCTGGACAACGCCTCCCAAGAATTGCTTCCGCCGTCCCGCTTTCCGTTTAGCCGATCCTTAGTCAGCATCCGCAGACGCTTGATCTCTGCGTCTCCCAGGCGTCGGTTTTGATTGACGTTAAGGGATTTGGACCTGCCTGAGGTCCCATCTCCAACCGTGGCCTTTACTTCAACGACGCCCGGGTCCAGAAAGGACACCTCGACCGTGACGGGAGTGCCACGGCGGCAGGGCGGAATGCCGCTAATTTCGAAACAGCCCATCGTCGTGTTGAGAGAAAAGTTTCGCTCCTTCCCCTTCGAGAACCTTGAACTCGATCACGGGCTGATCGTCCCTGGCCGTTTGGAGCTCGTGCTCCTTGCTGCTAGGAAGTTGAGTGTTGCGAGACATGATCACTTCCGTGAACGGGCGGCTGTGGCCAAGGCGAACAACTTCGACGCCGATGGATCTCATGTCCGGCCGTGCCGCGATGCGTACCGCGATGCGTACCGCGATGCGTACCGCGCCGCGCGCAACGACCGCACTGCACTTCGAGTTGGCGATGTGGGTACCCGGAAACGTTTTCTCGATCGGATCCCTGATGAATGGGACACCGCACGAGCCGCCGGCAAGGACGGCGTGGCTGATCTGCTTGTTGTTCTTCCGGCAAGAGAGTGTGTCGATGATGTCCGCGATCTTCTGTCGCACGTGTTTGCACTCGGTCTCGAACTCGAGGCTGATCATGCTCGTGCGCATCTGTGTGACCACAGAGCTGACAGCTCTGTGCGTTCCGATGTGCGTGTCGAGTATCGATTTTCGATTTGCCCGGTCGCACTCCGAGCTTGAAAAGATCTCTGCCCTGCTTGGCGGTCTCCCAGGATAGATCCCATTCGCCCCTCATCGTTCGACGGATGATGGATTTCGTGGTCGCCATGAGGATCCGGAGGCACTCTGGCTCTGGCGGCAGTTGAGCGGGTCCTTGTGTATCTTGGTTGACGCCGGCAGCCTCTTTTGCTGCTTGGTCTGCCATTTCATGCGTGGCACTCCGACGTGTGCTGGGATCCAGCGGAACTACACTTCCCGCCCTTTGCTTCGGAGTTCGTCGAGTGCTTGTATGGTCTCCACAAGGATGTATTGCCCTGATGGACACTTTGGGTTCCAGATTGCTTGGATGGCGGCTTGATTGTCTGTGAATATGGCGCACCAGCCGGGGCGGCTGGTTCTTGCATGTACGTCAAGTACCATTTTGACTAGCACCAGTCCCTTGAGCTCTGCTGTGTACACCGTGGAGGTGGTCGATGAGCCTCATGTATGATGCATCCAGTCCGTAAGACGTGGAAATCTTATCCTACCCTTGATTTACCCGTCCCTACGTACAAGCAGGACCAAATACGCAAAATCGTCTCGCGAATATGGTCTCATTGACCTCAAGCCTGCTGCAAGGGAGGGATTACAGTCTCATCTGAAACAGTTCTCGAAGGATAAGGATGGTTGGTCGCCCCTATTGTAGGTCTCGGCTAATGGCCATGAGCCTGTCGTGAAGTTGCTGCTGGAAACGAGCAAAATCGATGCCGACTTACCTGACAGTAATGGTCGGACGCCGCTCTTTGTACGGCGAAGGATCCGACGTGGTGAGTTCTGGTGTTGCTGCAACAGTTGAAGCCCGGCATCGTTCATCACATTTCGCAGAGCCAAGGGCGGAACTGGCATGAGACGCTCGATTGTTGAATTATAAAGATATGTGAGTGGGCGGGCGGGCGGCGGCGGCCCTGGCTCACAGTATGACGCAGCAGCCGCAGCTCTCGCCGCTCTCAAAGGTGAGCAAAGCGGAGCGTGTGGCGGCCTCGAAGACATTGTCGACGCCCTCGCCGCTCAGGCTCGAGCACTCGAGGTACTTGCGGGCTCCTATCTCCTTAGCGACGGCATCTCCCTCTTGCGGCGTGACGAAGCGCAGCGACTTCTTGCGCATCTCCTCTATGGCGAGGGGGTCTTCCCGGAGATCCTTCTTCAGGCCGACGAGGATGATGGGGACGTTAGGGCAGAGGCGGGAGGCTTCCTCGATCCACTGGGGGCGGGCGGGGTGTATCAGCGAACCTTTGACCATATCCCCCCAGGCGGATGCGTGGGATATCGAAGGGACCAGGGGCCGTACCTTGTGCTTGACGTTGTCAAGGGAATCTGGAGTATCAAGCGAGAAGCCGATGAGGATGACATGAGCCCTAGAATATGCCAGCGGCCGCAATCTGTCGTAGTCTTCTTGTCCAGCGGTATCCCATAACGCCAACTGAACGGACTTGCCGTCTACTCTACAATCTGTGACATAGTTCTCGAAGACTGTCGGGATCTGCGGGATGAGAGCGGATGGTCGGCGGGCGGACGGTCGAGGGTTCGGGGAGGACATACGTAATGCTGCGGAGGGTCGTGGTGGTTAGCTTGATATGCTTCGCGGCAGGCTCGGGGGGCTGACTGATGGGAAGTAGCCGAGCGTAAAGACGCTCAGCAGAGATGTTTTGCCGCAAGCACCATCGCCGATGATGACCAGTTTCCTGAGGGAATTAGATGTCAGTACCCCTTTTTTTTTTTGGTTTGGTTGGGTGGGGGGGGGATATCATGTGATGAATCGAGTTCGGCGGAGGACCCCTGAGGAGGGATCGTCGAGACGGTGGAGGGGCAAACAGGTGGGTGCGTACCTGCGGATGACGTTTTGAGGGCTTTGGCTGGCCATGGTGTCCCAGTGAGAGTAGCCGCGTGGCGGAAGAGATGGGGGACGCGGTCTGGATGGGTGCGGGATCCCTCTGGCTGCGTATATTGCGTCGTCAGGGGACGAGGATTGCAGAGGCGGATTCGAGTCCGAGATCTCAGGTTCGACCGGGGGAAGGCCGAGTTGACAGGAAACGAGGGGGCGGCCGTCCGTCGGGGAGACCTTGGGGGTGGTTCGTTGGGTATAATGGCGAGTGTGGTAGTGGTGATAATAGATACGTTTATCGATGGTTGATGAATGGGTGGCCTGGGTTCCGTCCCAAGGATGGGTAATCGAAGAAAGCGGTGGTCTGGTATTTAGGGATTATGTTGTAATAAAACAAGAGGCGGCGCAAGAGCGGGAGATGACAAGCGATCAAGCCACGCGCATTGCAATGCCAGTCCTTATTGTCAAACGATACTCCGCCCCAGCCGAGGAGGCGTCCCGACCCACATGGGCACCATTGTTTTGTGTATATAACTCGTCCCCTTGACTTGGGCAGTGGTTAAGGACCAATTTCAACTCTCTACAACCCACACATCTTGACACTTATCTCGAGCCCGGTTGAAAGCGATATGGGGGTGGACGGGGAAAGGGGCGGGACTATGAGTCGTGTCATGCAAGAGGCAGAAGATGAAGCGGCAGCGTCCTTTTCCAAGTCCTGTCCGGTCGATTGCTCTGTTCCTCGCTCTCTCGGTACCTAGAATCTGCCCCGGCAGAAGCTCTTTACTTGCGTAGCAGTCCACCGGCCAGCTTTAATACGAGCTAGGCGCAGGACAGTACTGACACTACGGCTAAGCTCCATTTACCGTTGCAAACCCCACCCCCGCGCCCCGGGGCGAGAGCGGGGTGCAAGTCGCCATTTCAGGATAAGGTTACTCCGATACGAATCAGCCAGGTGACACTGCCTAGTACACTGTAATGGGAATTGACCGTCGACTGTACAAGTCGTCTTGGTCCGAGAAACCCACCACACTGTTGACACGGGGCAGGCAGCGATCTACGCCCTCTTAAGGAGCATCGTAAACGTTGAGGGCAAAAGAAACCTGCCTAGAGCGGCATGCTCACCACGTTGGGAAGCTGGCGGGCGTGTTTGCAACTACGAGTTTGTGACATGGCGTTTTCTCCACTGCTGCTGAACCACCCATTTGTCTCTCCATTGTGGTCCTACCGTTTGACCCCTACCCGACTGATGCATCGCATCCTAGTCCCCGCCAACCCCGCCGCTCCAAGCGGTCGGCACGATCGAGCCCGACCCAGCTGGCATGTTCAGCCCTCCTGTCGCTAATTCACTTTGGTCTTAGGGCTTGGAGTTTCGCCTAATGCCGGCCTTGGTCCCATGGACTGGATTATCCTCCCCGATGTGGGTCAAACTGAGCCGCATGCACACGGGAAGTTTCATGGGCCAGCCAGCCACCTTGCGAACCAACCTCCATTGCCGGGCCAAAACCTTCGTGGAAGTGATCCGTGGATGATCATGTCATTACCTCTGGCGGGGTAACCTGCACATGCATCAAGAGTCGCTCCACGGCAACGTCTTTGGTGAACCTAGTGCCTTCAGATGCCTGTCGAGACAGAAAAGGAGCCCGAGCGCTTCATCCATACTCACACATCAGGGCCTGATCCTACAATATCCGTAACAACATCGTCCCAATATGGCCGTCAGGCCAGCTTTGGTTTCCAACAACATTATTGAGCAGGGCATGTTCTCGGCCTGCCTGGTCTTTTCACTATTCGCGGTCAACTTCTTTTCCTCCGTCTTCTCACTCATCTTGCAAGTCCTTCTCCTTGTTACCCGCTTGCCCCTCATCTTCATTACCATCGCCGCCTACGGGATACTACTGCAATGGTTCCCAAGTGGCTCCGTTGTTAAGAAGCTTGCTTTATTCATACTGATGGGTATCTCCGGCACGTGGTGGACGGACCTACAAATCGATGGCGTTAGACGTGGCTCGGTAGCCCAACAGCCATCCTGGCGCCTGCCTCAAGGCGGCTCCGTCATCGTGTCATCGGCAACTTCTCCTATCGACGCTGTGTACCTTGCGGCGGCCTTCGATCCTATCTTTACTACATCCTGTCCTGGGACGCGCAAAGTGCGCCGGCTGGGTTTGCTTCAGGCAATCCTACGCGGGTTTCGACGAATCGGGGACAATCCTCTTGGAGACGCTGCCCTTGGGGAGCTGGAGACCTTGCTTGTGGAACACCCAGCGCGAGTCATTGTGGTGTTCCTGGACTGCCCAAAGACGAACAACAAGGGCCTATTGCCCCGCTTATCAAGCCTAGTCGCCGTTCCCCCTTCCACAAATGCCTTCCGAGTCAGCATCCGGTACACGCCGCCGGACACCGGACCATGGCGGGTGCCTGGCAATCCTCCGGAACGTGCTCTCCAGTCCTCTGCACCTTATCCGAGCGCATATCGCCGACGACGTGAATGTCCACGCCGCTCTGTCACAGTCACACAAGACGAACAGCGAGCCTGCCAATTTGGTAGCGCGGCACAACGGAGATGGTCCGAACCGGAGTTCAAGGTCGAGGGTGACACGCCGACGCACAACTAAACGGCCGCTCAGGGTTCTCGGCGTCATTAAAGAATGAGTACAGCAAACAGGCATCAGCCTTGGGTGGTCAGCAAAGGTCGCGGCAGTGGAGGCGACGGGGATGGATTATTAAGCCCCGAGC